GTCGAGATATCAAGTTGTAAGTGGAAATCTTCTGGTTTATGTCGAAGTTTGGAGTTGCATGTCGTAATTTAGAGTTGTAAATCGAAATTTTGAGTTGCAAGTCGAAATATCGAGTTGTAAGTGGAAATGTTCTGGTTCATGTCGAAATTTGGAGATGCATGTCGTAATTTCGAGTTCTAAGTCGAAATTTTCAGTTGCAAGTCGAAATATCGAGTTATAAGTGGAATTTTTTTGTTCATGTCTAAATAGCAAATCGAAATTTCAAGATGTATGTGGTTCATGTCGAAATTTTGAGCTTAAATGGAAATTTTCTAGTTTATTTCGAAATTTGTAGTTGTAAGTCGGTATTTTGGGTTCGAAGTCGATATATAAGGTTGTGGATTGAAATGTTTTAGTTCATGTCGAAAACCAGTGTAATGGTTAATCTCTATTTTTTACTTACTTTTTATAACTTGAAAATTTGGAACTATCATTTTACTACTTCTTCGGTAATACCTATTATGAAATTCTTGTTTTATGCACTTTTTTATGCATTGAGATATTAATCAATATTTTGAGTTCAAGTCAAAATATCGAGTTGTAAATGGGAGTTTTGTAGCAAATATTGAGCTGTAAGTGGAAATGTTCTGGTTGATTCTGGTGAAATTGAAATTTTGAGTTGCAAGTCGAAATATCGAGTTGTAAGTGGAAATCTTCTGGTTCATATCGAAATTTCGAGTTGAATGTCGTAATTTCGAGTTGTAAAATCAAATTTTGAATTGCAAGTGGAAATTTTTTAGTTCATGCTGAAATTGCAAGCGGAAATTTCGAGATGATGTATGTAGAAGTCTTTTGGTTCATGTTTAAATTTTGAGTTGCAAGTCGAAATATCACGTTGTAAATGGAAATCTGGTTTATGTCGAAATTTCGAGTTGCAAGTAGAAGGAATGAGTTATGTGGTTTTGTTTTTAGTATGTATATGGAAATTTTTTGGTTTATGTCGAAATTTTAGGTTACAAGTCGGAATATCGAATTGTAAGTGGAATTTTTTTTGTTTATGTTCATATTTCGAGTTGTAAGTCGGTATTTTGAGTTGCAAGTCGAAACGTCGAGTTTGTATGTGGAATTGTTCCGGTTCATGTCGAAATTCCGAGTTGTAAGTCGATATTTTTAGTTGCAAGTCGAAATTTGGAGTTATAAGTCGATATTTTGGTTTGCAAGTCGATATATAAAGTTCTGGATTGAAATGTTTTAGTTCATGTCGAAAACCATTGTAATGGTCAATCTCCATTTTTTACTTACTTTTTACAACTTTGGAACTATCATTTTACTACTTCTTCGGTAATACCTATTATGAAATTCTTGTTTTATGCACTTTTTTATGCATTGAGATATTAATCAATATTTTGAGTTCAAGTCAAAATATCGAGTTGTAAATGGGAGTTTTGTAGCAAATATTGAGCTGTAAGTGGAAATGTTCTGGTTGATTCTGGTGAAATTGAAATTTTGAGTTGCAAGTCGAAATATCGGCTTAAAAGTGGAAATATACTGGTTCTTGTCAAAATTTCGAGTTGCAAGTCGAAATATCGAGTTGTAAGTGGAAATCTTCTGGTTCATATCGAAATTTCGAGTTGAATGTCGTAATTTCGAGTTGTAAAATCAAATTTTGAATTGCAAGTGGAAATTTTTTAGTTCATGCTGAAATTGCAAGCGGAAATTTCGAGATGATGTATGTAGAAGTCTTTTGGTTCATGTTTAAATTTTGAGTTGCAAGTCGAAATATCACGTTGTAAATGGAAATCTGGTTTATGTCGAAATTTCGAGTTGCAAGTAGAAGGAATGAGTTATGTGGTTTTGTTTTTAGTATGTATATGGAAATTTTTTGGTTTATGTCGAAATTTTAGGTTACAAGTCGGAATATCGAATTGTAAGTGGAATTTTTTTTGTTTATGTTCATATTTCGAGTTGTAAGTCGGTATTTTGAGTTGCAAGTCGAAACGTCGAGTTTGTATGTGGAATTGTTCCGGTTCATGTCGAAATTCCGAGTTGTAAGTCGATATTTTTAGTTGCAAGTCGAAATTTGGAGTTATAAGTCGATATTTTGGTTTGCAAGTCGATATATAAAGTTCTGGATTGAAATGTTTTAGTTCATGTCGAAAACCATTGTAATGGTCAATCTCCATTTTTTACTTACTTTTTACAACTTTGGAACTATCATTTTACTACTTCTTCGGTAATACCTATTATGAAATTCTTGTTTTATGCACTTTTTTATGCATTGAAATTTTTTACTTAACATTACTGTAACTTTTGGTCTGTGTATCGGTATGTTTGAGGCTTACAAACTTAAAAACAGTTAAGGCTTCATCAGTGGCGGCTCGTAATGAAATGAAAATATTTACTCATCTATTTGTATTTTGAAAGTTAATTATATCCTAAGATCCTTCGTAAATGCAAACTTGTCTTTAACCTTATTGGCGATGTAGTTTAATTGAATTTAGCTTACCGGTGTGGAGGGGAGTTTTCAAAAGAGTACGCAGAGCTGCCTTATGCGGACCAGTTCAATAATATGAAGGATTTGGTCTACTACTTACGATTAACTAACAACATGTGATGTGTGGGTGTGGTAAATAGGGGTCGTCCATTAAATATGTCACTCAGAATTTCACCCTTTTAGAGCCCTTCCTCTCCCTTCGTTCCGCTAAATCAAATATTATGTCAGAAAACCAGTTTACGCCAACGATTTCTTGGTATTAAAAATAGCAATGATAATGACTTTCTATTGTAGTTAAAAATTTTAAGAACTCACGTTAAGAAAAACATCAAAATAAACCCTCCTTCCCCCTACGCTATGCAATACCCCTCCCTCCCCCTTTTTTGTAAACGTATCTTATGGACGACCCCAAATTAGTAAGTAATTTAGTGCAATTACCCTATGGTTCATTGCTGACCAATTTCAACACCTGTACATATAATCGTCAACTTTGGACATGATTGATTTGTAAAATTTTGTTTTATGGAAACGGAAATTAAAAGAAAAATCTCCATATTAGTGTGTTGAAATCTTTAAATTGAACAAATTAATACTTCCGTCTGTAGATCTGCCACTGGTTGAACGAACGAACGAACGAACAACTTGTTAACTTGTACTAACAGTTAAAGTACTTGCGTTATTTATTTATTGAAGACGCTTTATAAAAGCTTACGGTTATATTGTAGTACTATAATGTAAGATCTTCGCTGAAAACTTGGTCCGGTTAATAACACGGTCGCCTACTTATCGTTTTAATCATCTTCCGTTTCTTTTGTCTATGTATTGGTCGGATGGCCGGATCGTCTGTTCGAAGAACGGTTTTTGGTTTAGTCTTTAGTACCTTTCACTAAAAAGTTGATACCTTGGCCAGTCAACATTCACAAACAGTCAAGTCATATGTGCCTGTGCGTCTTTTTATGAATCGCTTTATCCCAAACTTTTTAAATTTTAACTTCAGAACCCTTTTTTTTTTGAAATATTTTTGCGAGTTTAATTTTTATTAACCAGGGAGGTTTTAGTTTCATTATTTACTGAAGGTGAGTTCTTAGGGATTTATTTGCCACTATTATTAGTATTGGTTTGTTTTCCAATTTTCTTTTCGGCGTCAAATATCGATTTATAAATGTAAAAAATTCAGAATTCCGATATTGTTAACTAGACTATTAAAGTGATTTTTTTTTCGAAATTTGAAATGTAAATCTTTTTATATTCGAATTGTCTGTTTTGTGAATTGTTGCTTTTAAATTATATTTATATTTTGTTGTTGCAATTTTTTTAAAAATTTTGGAACATGAATTTTAAAAAAAAGTGCTTTCTTATCTTGTTAAATGATTTTGGCAATCAGCAGCAATCAACGTTTTGTGTTAACATAAAAATGTTGAGCAGCCTGCGGTTTCAAATATAACATTTTCAGTTTTGTTTTACATCAAAGTGTAATTATGTATATGTAGGTATAAGTTTAGTGTGAATAATGTGGTTTGGCTAAAGACCAACTTAACTCACATTATTGAGATTAACATTTTTGACATTGTTTAAACTCGACAGGTGCTTTTCTTTTGCATAATTTTTAAATTTTTTGTATTAACAGTTTCATAAACCAGCAAAGAATAAAGATTAATAATAAATTTTGCGATAAAGTTTTATTAAATATTTTTATTGCCTGATAATTTATTGTTAGGTAATAATTTACGTTAGTGAACATTTTTAATTGTATTTGTTTGCCAAATTCTGTTTCATTATAATATTTTACACAAAAAAAAAGGTTAAATACGTTTAGCACTTATAAAACATAAAATTCTTATTTCCAAGCGTTTAAGCGATAATTAAATTATCACTAGATGATTTTGTTAAAACTTTTATATTTCCCTTCGTATGCTTCCATTCGGGTGTCTTTATTTTTTACCATGCTCTGCACACAAATAAGCACATGTGCTTTGTGCTGTATTTTTATATTTTTGCCTGCATGAGTATTTTTGAAGCTTAGCACTAAACTGCAATAAAAACTCAACTCTGATTAAATAAATTGGCAATGAATGAATACCTTTCCATAGTAACTACGTATTTGTAACTTGCTGACTTGTACATTTATTCAAAATGAAATACAGTAATTATATATACATATATTATACACTATTGAGCTAAAGTTTTGAAATAATGGTTAAATTTATTTTCTAATTGTGTATATAAATATAATTATTATAAACACCAAAACACTTTTAGATCACTCGGAACAGTCTCTTATTCATGCCATGTACAGGGTCGTTTGTGGCATAAGTTCAAAAAGGGCATACACTTAACTTTATTATTTAGTGTAGATGTACTATCTTGAAGTATAAAATGCTTCAACAAACATTATTATTTTCTGTTTGTATCTCCGTTTTTTTTTTTATTTGCATTTTTGCGATTTATATTTCTTTGTTGTTTGTGTTTTTTATTGTTATTGGATTAGACAGTCGTTTATTGAAGTTCCTTATTTTCTTTTGTTTAGTTGCAAAGGCTGGGCCTCAAGATGTCGGGGAACGCGAAAGTCAAAGAACCGACAGCTAATGGGAATAGCGTATTTGAAATTGCTTCTAATAAAAAAACGAACTCTACTTCGAAACACAAAAAGCAGGGCGAGAAGCTGGAAAGGGAAAGCCTCGTGTTGTGGCGACGACCCTTAAAGACGTTAGAATATTTTTTTAAAGAAGTTTTTGTCCTCTTGTATACATATGGAAACAAGTAAGTTTAAGTTTTTGGAAACACATTTTTTTTCATTGTGCAATAATGAAATCAATAGCAACACTTAAAATATTAATAGTGTTATATGAGATAAAATTCCCTGAATTCTCAGCTAATTAGTGGAGAACCAGGTAGAAGAATAAATACACGACGTTGGCGTATCTTTGTTTTGCTACTCATTGTATTGAGGTTGGCAAACCAAATCAACGAAACGTCGGAAAGAAAAATATTTATTCTTCTGTCTGGTTATTCACTGGTCGGCTGAGAATTTAGCAATTTGAATTTGTTCTCGTATGGACTACCAATTTGTTCAACACATCTTCATTAATTGTGTGCTATTACTAATATTTAAATAATGTACCTCCTGAATTTATTCAGTTACATAGAAAAATTTGCATTAGAGGTATTACTTATATAATATTATTATATTTTTCAGATTACTACAGTTTAAGAAGACAGTCTTAGTAATAGCTATTCTACTAATTTCACTAACAGTAGTTTCTAAGACCGCTGGTCCCCACCAGTATGTAGTACAAGAAATTTATAAGACATCAATGTGGTGTTTCTATTGGATAGGTTTAGGTAAGAATAAGTTGTTGTAATATACATACTTTATTAGGTGCATGTTACATTAATTAAGTAATAAAGTAATACTAGAGGCTTTACTCGATGGTTTTACTTAAACCATTTCTGTGCAAGCTGTGATAATATATCAGAAAATCTTATGGTGCGTCTTAAGGATGTTTGGGAGGTATGTCAAAATGCTACGAGACAAATAAAAATTTGGAAGAACGTTCCTCATTCAATTCTAAAACTCCTGTAAAAACTACAAGTCGATTCACTAAATCGTTAAAAAGTAATTGCAATTTTAAAAACTTGTAATTTTACACGTCATTTTATGGAGATTCGTTAACCGAACAGATTAAATTTATTTTTATTAACAGAAAAAAAGCTATCAGAAACTTCAAACTTTTATAATAAGTAACTTGAAACTCTGGAGAATCACTTTAGCGTAAGGTTATTCAAATTCACTAAATGGTTATCGAGGAAAAAATGAAAAATTAGCTGAAAATCTCGTTTTTACTTGATAATATAATGATAATATTTGTAATTGTCTGAAATAAATGCAATTTTGAAGTTTTAATTATTATTTAAATATATTAAAAAGTTTTTGCTCAAATTCCAAATTTTCTCTCAAACCGTATACTTTTTTTTAGTATTGATAGTATTTATTTACCTCGTGATATGCTGCAAAACCTAATTAATCACGAATTTCTAATTTTATGTACTCTTGTCTCCGATTGTACCTCTCAACCATCTTTAATGAATGCAGAATACTGAGACATGAGCTACGTAAGTCCTATTTCCAAATTGTTATTTTATATAGGTATATAGTAAATTCTTTTAAATGAAATGCTTTCTGTTAACAATACAAGTTATTAATCCATCCATTTTGTTTCTTTTTTTTTAGGAATATTGTCGTCTGTAGGACTGGGTACGGGACTACACACATTCCTGTTATATTTAGGACCTCATATTGCTCAAGTCACTTTGGCAGCGTACGAGTGTGGTTCTTTAAACTTCCCAGAGCCGCCATATCCTGACGAGTAAGTTTTTATTATTATTTTGAACTTTTCTGCAAGCTAGTAGAGGCGAAATAAATTGTACAAAAAGGAGACATTTTCCATTATTTTGTATTTACAAAAGTTATTATTGTGCACATAAGGCAAGTGATGAAATTTGTCCTTTTAAATGTGGATACCTACATTTCTTAAGGATTTTCAAATTGTAGACAGAATCATTTACCTTATCTTTATGTATTACTTGGTGGTATTGGTTTTTTTTACTTATTCGTTAGTTTATTGTTATTATTTTTTAGCATAGTTTGTCCAAATGAGGCAGATCCTAGTCAAATTGTCTCGATATGGTCAATAATGTCAAAAGTCAGATTAGAAGCAATGTGCTGGGGCGCTGGTACTGCATTGGGCGAGTTGCCTCCCTATTTCATGGCAAGGGCAGCGAGACTGTCAGGGTACGTTACTCCATTAGTGTTAAATCGCAAAATAAGTTTCATTTATTGCAGACACTTTTTTGTATCTTTATCAGTTAACTGTAAAATACATATTTTTGAAAATGTTAATGTTTGGAATGTATAATTTCTATACATATTAGTGTTAGATTGAAAAACTTGTTTATTTTATTCAGGTATGATCCTGATGACGATGATGAATTAAGGGAATTCGAAGAGTTGCAGAGGAAAGAAATAAATCGGGAAAATCTAACTCTAATGGAAAAGGGGAAACTTTTTGTGGAACATATTGTACAGAAAGTTGGTTTCCTTGGAATTCTGGCTTGTGCAAGTGTAAGTATACCTTTAGCATCTATTCAAACATAATTTCTTTCATTTATTGCTTGTACTTTTTTAATTGTAATTTAATTTGAGAATATATCAATTGCTTTTAAAAACGGAATGTAGAATTAATTTGTACTATTTAGATGTTAGTGTTACATCTTATTATTCATTGTACAGAATATTTATTACATTATTTCTCAGAAAATATCAACGTGTTGGTAAATTACGAAATGCATGCATTTTTTTACTCTACGAAGTTTATTGAATTTTCCATTCATTTTTATTTTTAGTTTAAAAATGAAGTACATCGTAATTTATTTTTACATGTATATGTAATTGTTTTATTTAAGTTTAAAGGTAATTTTCCTGTTTTTGAGTTTGTCATAGGATAATAGAAAAACCCCTGGCTTTGTATGAAAACTAAAGTCTGAATTAAACGGTAATGAACTATTAAATTGATGTAGTTTATTGAGCAAAAAGAAGTAGGCAACTGACTGAACAATTTATGAATTTCTATTGAAAAAATATACACTTTTGGGATTATATTAAAATGGTTGTTTATGCCAATCTAGGTACAAATTATAATTAAGTTAATAATAGTCACAACGTCTATTTTTTTTTTCAAAAAGAAACAAACTTCTCAAACGATGAAAGTATGGATTTTACACAAGTTACAATTTTTATTAAATTCCTAAATATTCAGCTCAAAAACGGTTTTTAATATAACACCATATTATGTTAAAACTTGGGTAAATTTGTTGCCATTGATGTTTTAGAGGAACTACACTGTTTCTTCGTAATTATTAATTTAATTTAACTTAAAAAAAAATGAAATAGGATTCTACATAAATATTAAAATATGTTTTTATTTTCATACAGATCCCGAATCCCCTATTCGACCTTGCTGGCATCACGTGTGGACATTTTCTCGTTCCGTTCTGGACCTTTTTCGGTGCCACGTTAATCGGTAAGGCCATAATAAAAATGCACATCCAAAAACTATTCGTTATCATTGCGTTTAACGAGACATTGATAAGTACTGCGGTTGAGTGGCTCGCAGTCGTGCCAGTGATCGGTATCAAACTTCAGGAACCGTTCAAGGCATTCCTTGAAAGCCAGAAATTAAAACTTCACCGACAGAGGGGCAGTCCAGAAATACGGGAGAAGGGAAGTCTCCTGAGCAGTGTGTTCGAGAAGTTCGTGGTCGCCATGATCCTTTATTTCGTTGTGTCAATTATCAACTCTTTGGCGCAGAGCTATCACAAGCGACTGCACAAGAAGAAGATAGCACGATCGGATTAGCCAAAACGGTAGGACTGAGTTTATCAATATTCTTTTAAAATTATTAGACCAAAATGGTTTTTGTTATTCGGATTTCTTCATTTTTCTTTTAGTGGACAAAAGAAGTTTAAAAAGAATTAATTGAAATAGAGTAATATATTAGTGATTTTTCTTTAGAGTGTAGATGTATGAATTTTCGGTACCATAGTACCCTCGAGGGTAGTTTTTGTAAGGGCGTGCAAGGTTGTTATTTTCTTTTGTGAGTAATGTGTGGGTGAAATTCGACGTATTTAAATATATAATAATAGAAAAGGTCGCACTTTCTTAATCTTGGTTTTCTGTGTGGTGAAAATAATGTTTTTTTTTTAGGAAAAAATCTTTTATAAGTTTATTCTTGTTTTAATGATGGCGAATTGTTTTATGAAAAATGTATTAAATTCTCTTCTTTCTTTTATGTACTTACACGCTATTTGTTTCAGCTAAAAAAATTTGTTTTTGTGTTGTTTTAGAAATGAAAGTATAATATTATACAAAAATTCATTGTAATTCGCTTTATGTAGTATGTATTTATTCCTGAATGAGTTAATTAGGATTTTTTTGTATTATTAGGGGAACTTCAAATTAATTGTTTGGAATGGTAAAGAGTTACTTTCTTATTAGAATTAGTTATCTATAAGTAATTTTGAGTTTGGGTAAACTGAAATTATTTTCACCTCAGAGATAATATGGCGATTGGATTAGTGCGATTCGAATTATGTAATTTTAAGTAGGAAATATGAAAACTATGGATGTTTTTTTAACGAAGTATCATTCGTTGTGATTGTTCAAAAGTGATTGTTTATACAAGACGAATCTTTTTATTTATTTATTATCAATCAGTTTTACTTTGCATAGCGATCAGTGGTGTTATTAGTTATTATAAACTACTATACATATTATAGTGAAGACCAAATTTGCCATTCCTGTTGTTCAGTAGGATTAATGAATATGTAATACCAGTATTTATCTTGGAAACCTGTAAATTGATTAATTATGTTGATTGCTAAGCAATAAAAAATGTAAATTGTGAAGTTTTTAAAAAATAATGAGTTGGTGTGCTTTATATTATGTTGCTTCTTTTTATTGATTTTATTTTTATGATTCCCATTGTTGTTTTTATGATAATTTGGTGTAGTTTTTCAAAAATTTGTTAATTGTCATAAAAGTTAATAATACTAGTTTCGTATTTTAAAAGTAAAACAAGTTTAAAATATTTATTTTAATTATAAATAAAGTGAGATTTGCAAAATAAAGTATTTAGGGATTGAGTAATGTTTGCTCAAATTAAAAATACAGAAAAGGTAAGTACAATATTTATGTTTATAATATGTAATGATAATAGATTTTATATTGAGTGTGCCATCTAGTGGAAATGTAGATAAGTAGAATAATAATGAAATTAATATTATAGAAAACTGTAACATAATACGTAGTGAATGTAAAGGTTTGGCAAGGTGCCGTAAGATGGCGCTGGAGTAGATGTTTGATGTGTCTTTATAATCATCTTCTTACAGAGTAGAAGCTAGTATATTAAGGGCGTCGAGGGTGGGGTGACAAATTGGCTGAGTTCTGTCCGAACAATTTCTCATTCTTCAAAACAACAGGATTAATGTAACTGTTACACTGAAACTGTATGAATATCAGTCTATTCTTACAATATTCGTTTACGCAACAATCTTAACTAATTGTTTGCCGAAGGTTTTCTTTCCTAAAACTAAATATGATACTTTGTAAGTGGTAATGATAACTGATAACTCCTATTTTTGTACTTAGAAAATTTATTGTTTTTTAAACAAGCATACATGAACATTCACCTTCTTATAATACTTGATTTATAACAAACGATAGTGCACTACAGAATTATTCTTATCAAGTAATGAAAAAACTAGAAGAATTTTTAAATATTTTAAAAACGCTTCTCTTAGTTTCCATACCTACATCGTCTGAAAAATAGTGGAAAGACATCATTATACACGCAATTTTAAAATCGTCACCCAAACCATAAACTAATTTGGCTATTTTAAGTAACTATGAAGTACAAAAATATGTCCATACATTTAGTTACGCACTACACGACTGGCTTTTTAAAAACAACATTTTATTGTAAATTGGGGTAAAAATATTATTTTCTGCAAAACTAATTTTAAAACTAAAATTATGCGTTTCGCTTCTCTTATATGCACATGCAAATTAAAATTAGTTCTTGCTTGTACGTTCTTTAGCCCTAACAATGAAAATTTATTGAGAGTCTTCAAAATTCTATCGCCTACGCACATTGCCATTTGACTATTACGAAATAGCATGTTTCAAATTCAGGAAAGGGGTTAACAACCACTCCGTCCATGGCTTCCTAAATTCATGCACGACAATAGGGGTTAAGAATCGCATTAGGAAGAATGTAACCATACAGCTTTTGTTCCTGTTTCAAAGACAAAACTATTCAAATTTAAACATAGAATTTTAGAAACCCAATAAGCAACAACTTGTGCAGTTTAAGTACGAAAATGGGGAAGTAACAACCGCCCTAGGAAAAATTTGATTATACAATTCCTCTTCCTACGCTTCCTGAACAAAACTATTAAAAATTTAAAGTTGAATTTTGAAAACCCTTTAAGTGACAGCTACTGAAATTTTGACTATAAGAAAATGAAAAATTTTAAGTCCAGAAAGAGGGGTAGGAACCGCCCTAGGAGAAATGTGATTATACAGTTTTTGTTCCTACGTCTCCTGGACAAAATTATTAAAATTTGAAAGTTGAATTTTGAAAACCCTCCAAGTTACAGCTACTGAAATTTTGACTATTATAAAATGAAAAGTTTTAAGTCCAGGAAAGGGGGTAGGAACCACCCTGGTAAAAATGTGAATATACAGTTTTTGTTCCTACGTCTCTTGGACAAAACTATTAAAATTTGAAAGTTGAATTTTGAAAACCCTCCAAGTTACAACTACTGAAATTCTGACTATATGAAAATGAAAAGTTTTAAGTCCAGAAAATGGGGTAGGAACCACCCTGGTAAAAATGTGAATATACAGTTTTTGTTCCTACGTCTCCTGGACAAAACTATTAAAATTTGAAAGTTGAATTTTGAAAACCCTCCAAGTTACAACTACTGAAATTCTGACTATATGAAAATGAAAAGTTTTAAGTCCAGAAAATGGGGTAGGAACCACCCTGGTAAAAATGTGAATATACAGTTTTTGTTCCTACGTCTCCTGGACAAAACTATTAAAATTTGAAAGTTGAATTTTGAAAACCCTCCAAGTTACAACTACTGAAATTCTGACTATATGAAAATGAAAAGTTTTAAGTCCAGAAAATGGGGTAGGAACCACCCTGGTAAAAATGTGAATATACAGTTTTTGTTCCTACGTCTCCTGGACAAAACTATTAAAATTTGAAAGTTGAATTTTGAAAACCCTCCAAGTTACAACTACTGAAATTCTGACTATATGAAAATGAAAAGTTTTAAGTCCAGAAAATGGGGTAGGAACCACCCTGGTAAAAATGTGAATATACAGTTTTTGTTCCTACGTCTCCTGGACAAAACTATTAAAATTTGAAAGTTGAATTTTGAAAACCCTCCAAGTTACAACTACTGAAATTCTGACTATATGAAAATGAAAAGTTTTAAGTCCAGAAAATGGGGTAGGAACCACCCTGGTAAAAATGTGAATATACAGTTTTTGTTCCTACGTCTCCTGGACAAAACTATTAAAATTTGAAAGTTGAATTTTGAAAACCCTCCAAGTTACAACTACTGAAATTCTGACTATATGAAAATGAAAAGTTTTAAGTCCAGAAAATGGGGTAGGAACCACCCTGGTAAAAATGTGAATATACAGTTTTTGTTCCTACGTCTCCTGGACAAAACTATTAAAATTTGAAAGTTGAATTTTGAAAACCCTCCAAGTTACAACTACTGAAATTCTGACTATATGAAAATGAAAAGTTTTAAGTCCAGAAAATGGGGTAGGAACCACCCTGGTAAAAATGTGAATATACAGTTTTTGTTCCTACGTCTCCTGGACAAAACTATTAAAATTTGAAAGTTGAATTTTGAAAACCCTCCAAGTTACAACTACTGAAATTCTGACTATATGAAAATGAAAAGTTTTAAGTCCAGAAAATGGGGTAGGAACCACCCTGGTAAAAATGTGAATATACAGTTTTTGTTCCTACGTCTCCTGGACAAAACTATTAAAATTTGAAAGTTGAATTTTGAAAACCCTCCAAGTTACAACTACTGAAATTCTGACTATATGAAAATGAAAAGTTTTAAGTCCAGAAAATGGGGTAGGAACCACCCTGGTAAAAATGTGAATATACAGTTTTTGTTCCTACGTCTCCTGGACAAAACTATTAAAATTTGAAAGTTGAATTTTGAAAACCCTCCAAGTTACAACTACTGAAATTCTGACTATATGAAAATGAAAAGTTTTAAGTCCAGAAAATGGGGTAGGAACCACCCTGGTAAAAATGTGAATATACAGTTTTTGTTCCTACGTCTCCTGGACAAAACTATTAAAATTTGAAAGTTGAATTTTGAAAACCCTCCAAGTTACAACTACTGAAATTCTGACTATATGAAAATGAAAAGTTTTAAGTCCAGAAAATGGGGTAGGAACCACCCTGGTAAAAATGTGAATATACAGTTTTTGTTCCTACGTCTCCTGGACAAAACTATTAAAATTTGAAAGTTGAATTTTGAAAACCCTCCAAGTTACAACTACTGAAATTCTGACTATATGAAAATGAAAAGTTTTAAGTCCAGAAAATGGGGTAGGAACCACCCTGGTAAAAATGTGAATATACAGTTTTTGTTCCTACGTCTCCTGGACAAAACTATTAAAATTTGAAAGTTGAATTTTGAAAACCCTCCAAGTTACAACTACTGAAATTCTGACTATATGAAAATGAAAAGTTTTAAGTCCAGAAAATGGGGTAGGAACCACCCTGGTAAAAATGTGAATATACAGTTTTTGTTCCTACGTCTCCTGGACAAAACTATTAAAATTTGAACGTTGAATTTTGAAAACCCTCCAAGTTACAGCTACTGAAATTTTGACTATTATAAAATGAAAAGTTTTAAGTCCAGAAAAAGGGGTAGGAACCACCCTAGGAGAAATGTGATTATACAGTTTTTGTTCCTGTTTTCTGAACAAAATTATAAAAACTTGAAAGTTGAATTTTGAAAACCTTTTAAACTACATACTATCATTTAATATTATCTGCTGCTTATTAGAAACATATTTATGCATAAGTAGTCATCAGTGAAAATATCTTTTTATAGAAGCGAAACGTGAATGAGTATGGATGCTTTCTTGCAACTACTAAAAAATAACAATTTCTATCTCGTACTAAAATATTTGGAAATTATTACGGTAGATCAATATCTATGTATACACACTTTTATAATTAACCTAAATGAATAATAACTTTTTACAAAAATGTTCTAAGTGTATTACGAATTTGAACACATCGCTGCAAGTCTTGTATTATAGAAACAGAGTATGAATTTTACGTATCAAGAACAGTACATAAAACACGAATACAACGAAATTACATAGGTACGCGTTATCGATAAAAATGTATAACAATTACAGGACACGATTTTGTAATATTAAACAGGTTTGGAATATAGCGAATTTTCCACTATTGCAGATTTATTAATGACAATGTTTTGCAATCAACCACTGACATTATTCTCCTACTATTTAAGTAGATAATTACAGAAATAAAAATACAAATGTAGATGTAATAAAAAAATGTCTTCAATTAAGTTAGATTATTAAAAATCAATTTTGTGAAGGCAGTCTAAAAATCGTAAGCATAAGAGATTTAATTTTTGATCGCAAAACATTTCATTTTTTTGCATATCGAAGTTTGTAGAAATGCCTTTTTTACAACAAAATTAATCTTTGGCAAGCACAGGTAAAGTAAAATAATAACGAAATGTATTCTATTTCAAAAGTCTGTTGTTATTGCCTAAAGAACACAATTATTTTGATATTTATGAAAGTATCGGTGTCACTCCCAATCAAAAAGTTTGAAAAAATGTGGATATTTCAATCACTGAAATGTAATTATGCAATAAATAACTGCAAGTTCTTATCAATAACAATTACTAAACAAAACAATAAAAGCAATAAAAACAGTTTCGATCATTGTCGAATAATAAATGTATGTGATTAATACAAAATATACAACATAGTACCTAATTAGGAAATTAACTTGGTAACCACCGTTTTTGAACAAATAATAATGAAAATGCGTTATTTACTTAAAAAAAGATTTTCTGACTAAGGTATTTAAAACCGTTTCTACATTTTTAATGTCAGCGAAATTGTTTAGGAGTATTCTACAAAAATGTGTCAAGCAAATTTGAAAACATTCAAAACGTATATAGTTACTTTCATGAACGGTAATAATTTTTACTTGGAAGTAGTTATCCTAGAAATTGGTCGATTATCTTTCCTTCTTAAAATTTCATTAGACTATTATATTTACTTGCAGTTATTTTGAAAATATATATCATATTTTTAATACCATCATCATCATCATAATTCAAGAGTAAAATATTAAAAACTATCTATCTAACCTATTTAACAGCCACGGTATGCTTAGTGTTGGTGGTGGTCGTTGCGCCGGGAACTTTTCCAAGCACCTTCGACAAGTCGACACCGGTTAAGGCATTAACTGCAGGCGGAATCTGACCGACGAGACGAGAAATTTCCGCGGTCGTATTATCCGAACCGCCAATCAGAACAATCTCTTCCGTTTTCGCAAGCGGTGCCGCTACTTCCGCAGCGATCTGTAAGCACACAGAATAAACGAAATTTACCTTTATTTGTAAGAAATCGATGGTTACAATAATGCACTGAAAAATACTTTAATTTCAACGTAAAAAAAATTATAACAATTTTCTATATCCTGTTATTTTTCTATTAAATACTAATTCAATTAAAATAATACTGAAAGAAGTATTCACTATTGATTTAAGATATTTAATAAATCCATTTAAAATTGACAGACTAAATTAAGTATCCCAATGGTATATTTATTATACCGATGGTTTAAGAGTCTAGGACGACAAACTTACATGTTCTATTTGAATGTTCGTGATTTTTCTTATTAAGGGTATTAATTTAAATGGAAATAAATTGTGATAAATATTAACATTATGAAAGTTTCTTTCTTTCTTTCACATTACTTTCATTCAATCTACACATTTTTCAAACTTAAGTAATAAATAAACAAATAACACTAACTTTATTATAAACAATATTACACAAAATAAGAAAATGACAATTCTTCTTCAAATTTGGCAGATGAATTTTGAAAATCCCATTCTATTAACTATTAAAAAATTAATACTTTTATGTTCGGAAAAGAGGGGGTAAAAACCTCCCTGAAAAAAAATGTAACCATGTTTCAATATTCTTTGGACACAAGTTACCACTTGACAGTCGAATTTTCAAAACCTTATTAACTACAATCACTGCAATTTTGACCAATAAAAAACGAAATGTTTTAAGTTTAAAGAAAGTCAATTGTTAAAATTTGGTAATTGAATTTTAAAAACAAATTTTATATTAGACTAATCTTGCCATTTTACATACTGCTTCGTTATTGAAGAACACACACACACACAGCAAAAAGGGAGAGAAATGATTATTACCTTTGGTAAGGCTTCTAGAACGAGTGACATTATGGCGGCATCACCGTATTGTTTATACACCTGAGCCTTCAGGCGCATTCCTTCGGCTTCTGCTTTACCAACCATCCCGATTGCAGTAGCCTCAGCCTCGCCGATTTTCTTTATCTTTTCAGCTTCTGCTTTGGCCACTTGAATTGTTTGCGTTCTGGAAAAAAAACAATAAATAAAAAAATAAATTTGTGCATCCACTGTGAGCGTTTTAACAATTTGTTTGAATTATTGGACCTTTTGACTAGTCATATATAGATTTAATTTTAAAGTAACCCTTACACAAACTCTATATAATTTTGTAAAAGGTGAATTTTGTCACTAGGAACTAAAAAAGGTTACCAAACATGTTTGCATGGATCATGGCATTGTATGAGTACGAAATTTGACGGTGGGAAAAAATTAAGAGCGTTGGAAACATGGAACATCGTGGATGGTAGGGCACTTTTTGAGAAATAAAAGGCTACTTAAACATATTAAAAGCAAAAACAGGAGTAAAAAGGAGCACAAAAGTTCTAAATTAGATAACTATTCGTTAATGAATAGGGACCATTTCATGATGCTCTGGTTCTCGGAAAATGCAGATTGGCTGTACTGGAAGTGCACAATAAGTAACTTTAAACTTACCGATTTCCTTCGGCCAATGCTTGTAGTCTAAAGCTTTCCGCTTCTGCTGGTAAACGTACTGTAGCATTTAATTCTTTTTCTTTTCGTTTAACTTCTTGATGTTCCACTTCTATTTGTTTCTTTCGTTCGACAACATCTATTTGTATTTCTTCGCTACGAATTTTTTGACGTATTTTCGCAGCTTGAAGTTCGTATGCTAATTGGGCTTCCGCTTTCTGTTACCAAATAAAACCTCTATGTAATTAATTTCAGCAAAATGAAACTTTCATGGAAATACAACAATTCATAATTCTTTTAATAAAAAAAAACCTTTATGAATAGCTAGACATGTTGAGATTATTTTACAAAATTTTATAGATTTTCCTATATACATATTTTCTTTATTTATGTATTTATTTAGTTGTTTAGGACTGTTGAATAGTCTGATACCCTTAAAAAACTGAAGGATAGATTTTTGGTTGCTTTTCACTAGTGAGTTCAAACTGTCTTCTTTTGAAGACGGTCATTCTGTTACTATAACAGTATAAAATACATGAAGACTAATGTTTTAGTCATTGAATTCTGAGTAAGTGTTTGGCAGTTTGCGTGCCATATGAACACCACTGCATTTTCGTGATTATTAATTCACACAGCTGAAGAGTATTATTCATGAGAGACACCAAAGGACATTACAATTGATAAATGACTTAATCTTTAGCTCTGCTTTGCTTTTATGAAATTGAAATAAACCATAGGTAATCATTAAAAAAAACCCTACCTTATAAGATACTTAAGAAATGAACAAAACTCACGGCAGTGTTAATTTCTTGGTCGAAGTTAGCTTTCTGCAGCTTGAACATTCTTGTGTTATCTTCAATTTTTGTATCAGTAGCATATTTCACATCCATTGCTTGCTTCTGACATTCTGCTTCCTGTAAATTAAGAAAACAAAGAAAAATATTACTACTTTCATTTATCAGAATGAATGCCTTTAGCAATTATTTTGAGTCTCAAATACAATAGATGTAGTAACAATTTAGATCTAAAATGCATGAGTGCTTTTAAACATACTTATTTAACACTACAGAAGTATCTAATACTTTGCATTTTCTTAATTAAATTAAAACTTTTATAAGAGTAAAGATTGATATATGCAAATGTATTTAAGTTGTTAAACAACTATATCTGCAATTTGCACTCTCCTAATATGGTATTATTTCAACTGACACTACACTATAAGTATTCCTCTTGATTAACAGAATAAAGTAGTGCTTAACGAAAACTACTTATTCGAACAATAAAAACAAAAACTCACCCTTATTCCTGCGTCTCTATTGGCTTCTGCAACACCTGCATCTGCATCCCTTTTAACCATGGCTGTTTGTGCTTTCCCAAGGGATGACAGGTATTCAACATTGTCGAATACATCTTTGATGGTAAACGATAAAATTTCAATGCCCATTCTGCCTACATCGGGAGCCGCAACTTCCCTTACAAGTGCAGCAAATTGGTCTCGATCTCGGTACACTTCTTCGACTGTAAGAGTTCCTGAAAAAAAAATTATGCAGGTAAAATAAAGAAAACGGGTATTTGAATTTGAAAATGTACGTTTTTATAGAACTTCTTACCTATTTACACATTCCAAACACAACAAAATACCCGCCATTTTAAGATTTATGAACAACATACAAAGTTGTAGAATATAAGTAGATAATCTGCTATTTATAATTGTTATCATTAAATAACATATGCCACTAAACCATATTTCACAGTATCTTATTAGACAAATAAACCCTATTAATAACTATCCTATTAGACGATAATCTTTCCTAATTACTAATACTACCTTCTTCTTTTTCTTGTCACTGTCAAACTATTAAATGTTATGGTTAAACGACATTCCCTATATTGCTGTATTTACGGGCCTGCTTGTATTTATAAATACAATGGTTATGACGCCATTAGCACTTTTTTGATGAAGCTAAATTGGCGTTAGTAATTTGTGACGTCGATTGATGGCAATCCTACTAATGAACTCAACTAAAATGTAGATTGAACTATTGAACTCAAGTAAGATATAGATTATATACTAATTATTTCTTTTTCGTTAATTTTTATGAAGTTTTAAGAATAATGATGGATTAAGGTAACTTTAATCCTTACATAGGTATTTAGTTTTATTAAAATGCTGCTATTAAGTTTTATAAAAAATAATACAATTTTACACCTTATCATGACAAAATTTCCCTTTGTGGTCCATATGATTTCTGATACACCTACTCCCTTTTTGTAGCATTATAGCTCCTGACCCCAGAACGAACAAATCAATTTTAATGCGGTTTTTAGTGTTGGAAAGACTGTACTTGCAAGAAGTTCTTAACTACGTTTGATGATAATTTATTCAGATATTTTCAAGATTTTTATTGTTAATTGTAGTTTGTATAGGGTCATATTGACAATATTCCTAATTTTTTAACGTTTATGCTTCAGTGACAATGTTTCTTTTTTTTTAATTTCGCTAACATTATAACTGTTGACTTGTTACTTTTAGTTATTTTAAAAGGAAACTCTAAATTTTGGCTTTTTAAATATTTTCAAAATAATATTAGTTTATTTGTTAATTACTCATTCCTTGAAATTAAGGATAAATGTACTAATAATCTTTCCAAAATTATTCAACTAAAAAAAATCAACGAATTCCAGTATCACGAAAAATTCTATTAAATCTAAATTTACATCTTTCAATTTTCGAAATACAGTTTGGAGAAGCTTTAATTTGTTTAATTTAATTTCAAATTATACCAGAATATTTTTAAATGATCATTCTAATAACTGTAACTGATTATGTAACACAAGATGTTGAAATAACTCATAATTATCTTATTATCTCTGATAACGATAAGCCTTTTGACGTCTGTAAAACAGTAATGAATTTAAGTATGTTTACGATTAATTTAATGTATATACAGTTTATTGCATTATGTACAAATCAGGAAAAAAAATACTTTTTTAAATAGCTACTACCTGCTTGAGTAATATTTAATAGTAATGCAATACGTAATAGTTGCTATTTTATTTATTGTTGCCGTTTATATGATGATAACAATTTTATTCTGTACAATTCTGCGGAGTAATCAAAGAAATCAAATTACTATGACATTGAAATTATTCTACGCCAAGGCGGAAACGTAACAAACGATGCAGTAATTGAATGAGTAAATTAAAGAAAAAAATACATCACCCTAACAAATTATTTTTGCCTTCAATTTAATTTGTAGCACAAAGAATAGAATAGGCAGATTATTTCAATTTAAGAATTACTGAAATTTGTTGAGCTGAAACTTAAAAAATAGAAACGAAGTTTTTTACGCTTTTTGATAAATATTAATTATAGGTTTTGGTCAGGGTATTTTGTAAAAAAAGAAATAGACTAGAAGCCCATGCTAAAAATCGAAGGGGCGAGTATGGTACCACAATTTTATATACAATTTGTGGTGAGTAATTTCACCCCATGGATTTTTAGCATGCGCTTGTAGTCTAAAATTGACAAGCATCTAACATATACATTCTTAAGGCGCAATCGGCTCACAATATTTCGAAATGCCAGTTTAAGAACTGTTGGTTTCTACTAAAGGGTTAGCTTCCGAAGCTATCTAAAATGACTCCTTTTGTATATATTCATCAGATGGAGAGAGATGTTTACTAACACCTTTGGTTCTAAAGTTAGCCAGCATTACCAAACCTAGAGATCTAGGCCTAAGGAATTTAGAATAGAGATGTGCAAGATGATTTTTAAATACAAAACGCAAATACTTTTTTGATTTGTTATTTCAAATGTAAAGTACAAAATAGATTTCCCCTTTGTATTTCAAATGCTAAATGCAAAATACGTATTTTCAAAATACATTTTTCAAATAAATACTTTTTTGTGGTACCTATTTAATTTTCTGCACTTACTTAAGTATAAAATATTTTTTAAGAAAACCTTGCAGGCATTTGCTCATTTTCTAATATTGGGGTTTTTCTAGACTAATAGTGGTGTTTACACTATATCACCAGCTGTGAAGATTGAGGATAATTCATAATTTTTCTATTTGAAGTGATTGTGATATAGTCTTTCTTGTCTTGTCTTTATGTTATAGTTTCTTCAGTTCAGCAACAAATAATTCTTTCATATATGCTTCCTTATTTACCTTTGTCATCCGTTTTAATTGGAAAAAAGTCACTGCCGACAAAATAGTTTGTTTACCGTGAAAGATCAAAGCCAAAATAAAGTTGCAAATAATTTTATTGATTTAAAATCAACATCAATCATTTTATATCAAAATATTTACAACACCATTTTGTTTCTGATCTCTTACACATTGTAATAAGAGAAAGAAATAAGCTTTGGGTTCATCTAACAAGTTTTTCGAATCGTTTTGGATTATACGCATTTACTAGCACACCACAATATCTTGTACTTTTCAGTTTTATTAATTCGACATTGTTTTGTCGTAATTTATAACATTTCGAAGTTCCTTGCTAAAGATACAATTTGGTGGCTATTTGGAAGGTGCTGATATCAATTTAAAACTTCAAAATTCCATAGAGCATGACATTGAACTCGGAATACAATATCGATCCAATATTTTAGATAATCCATTTCCATGGAGTGTAGAATTGTTTGGGCTCTCTTCAGTTAAAGAATTAGAGGGCATTCATGGAATATCTCTTTGTGCCCTTTTTAAGCTTCTAATACCTTCAAAGGTCAATGTGAGCAACTTTCATTTATCACTTTATATAATGTTTGATCGTTTTGCATAAATAAAATGCAAAGTGCTTTTCTCAAAAAAGTATTTAAATGCAAGACAAAAATGGGTATTTTTTTAAATGCAAGTATTTCAAATAAATCACATCTCTGATTTAAAATCACCTTAGAAAAAAAAGGGATTTTCATTTGATTTATAATACAATTTAATTTCTGTGCCACATGAATTGTTCTTTAAAGGTTACTTGTACCTAGAAAATATGAAATGTGAATAACTAAAGAATAGAGATGCACCATCATTACTGGTGTTTATTTTTTCTTTTTCCTCTGATAGAATTACCCGGCACTGTCGTGTACCGCATCATTATTGTGAATCCGGCCGAATCTTAAAAAAAGTGCCGAATTCGCATTGGATCTAAACCGATTTATTCCTACTAAAGAATAAAAAAAGTCTTTCTTTTTGAGCCAAATTAATTCTTCAAATTATTTTTGGTCTTTGGAGTATCTGGAGAAATATAACTGAATTTTGGTAAAAGAATTAGGGAATAGAAGGAAATTCATCTGACAATGGTTAGTTCCTCGATGCAGTAAAGTGCAATACGGAATTACGAAGAAACAGAGGCATCTAATTTGCAAAAAACCTTCCTATTCTTATAAAAATAAATATATAACTAATGAAACCAATAAAATTAATGAGGCGTGAAATGAAATGAAAAAGGTAAGAAAAGTCATGGTATTTTACGTATCATACTTAGTTACGACTGTATAGGTTAATCCTAGAGTTAAAGCCACTTTGAATGCACCCATATATACCATCCCCATTGTTAGGCAAAATCAGCTAGAGGAACACGAAACACAGAGCTTTAAATAGATTCGAATTTTATTTAATTTTCACAATTTCTTTTCACCGTAGTTCCACGCGAAAACTAGTTCACTAACGACAACTAAATTACATTTTTATTTGAATTTAAAATAAGACATTAAATTTAATAAACAACTGTTAATTAATTAACCGTGTAAAAAGTAATTATCTTATTCCTTTTGATTCCGAAAATACGTATTAATTTTTCTCTTGAACGAACAATTTATGTCAATAAAAACTTTCTTTGGCACTTGTCACAAAAAAAGAATTAAATTCACTTCTACCGTTGTTTATCACTGCTAGGTACTAATTTAACTAACACAATGAAACTTTATAACCGTGTGTTAGGTCATGCGTCCTTAGGAGGATAATTGGCTTACATTGTTAATCTTACGATTAACTCGTTCACCACGTTTTCCCGCATTTTTTTAGACGAACAATAGTGATTATTAACTCAAAACAATATTTAGAAAAACGAAATAATTTTATTGACAAACCGTCTGATAGAGTGTGCGAACGTTGTAATGTTTAAATTCAACTGCATTAAATGCGACGATAAGGAAGATTTTATTTCAAGGATAAGGACTGTACCCGGTACCTACTGCGATTATGTACTTTTTTCGCCGAACCACTACTGTTCTGGCATTTATTTCACCTATAAATAAATATAGGTTGGATAAGTACGCGAGAGATGGATTCTTTATTAATTACGTATCCAATAAAAACTGCGAGATATAATTACGTCTTTTAGATACACAAGATTATTGATCTGACAACAGATAATACAACCACTAACGACGAATTACGTCCAAATGTGCCTACATTATCTAGTATATCGAATACCTACTCATATTAAACAATATCTCGCTATTTTATTAAAAAGATAATAAAACAATGATGTACATACACGTACGTTTGCAACTTTGAAAGATATATCCATTGTTGGTTTAAATTAATTTTTAATAAAATTTGTGAAACAAAAAACCATGTGTTTCATTTTAAATTTATTCGGCAAATGTCTAGATGATGGCCCCCACCCCCTTCGGGGAGGGGGGATCGAAAGAGGGTAGAGGGGATCCAAAGAGGGTGGTCACCTGAGTAAAACCCCATGAAAAATTTGCGGCGGTCTCACCCCCATAAAAAGTTATGGGGGTTGAAAGTTGATTATTTTGACAATTTTCATACACTATAATTCAAATAAAATTCAATAAAAAAAATATTTTCAAGCGGGTACAGGTGGGGGATCGAAAGAGGGTGATCACCCGATAACCTAACCTAACCTAACCTAACCTAACCTACCCTATTGATAAAGATATTTAAATAATGTTTTATATAACTTTCTCAATATTTTTATGTATTTTTCTATTAGTTTTACCTTTGAATATTGTTTAAGAATGACTATATAAATCTTTTTTGGTACCGTGGTGGGGGAGACCTCCTCCTTTGATCCTACCCATCCCATCCCCACCCGAAGGATGTGGGGGCCATCATCTAGACCTTTACCATTTATTCTTTTGTGAAAAATGTTTTACAGAATAATCTAACGAAAATACAGTTTAATTACTATTCCTATAGCTAATATGACTGGAGAAATACTAAATATATCAGGGACTAATTTTTAGTCGCGACTTTGTTCACGTAAAGCTATTTCTAAATATTTATAACAACAACAACTATTATAAGCAATTTACAATTAAATTAAATCACTTCTGATCACCTCTCCATCAAGTCCCATCGAAATCGGTTTAGTTGCTTCGAGGGTTAGGCAATACAGACAGCGAAACAGTAGGACGGATTATACAGACAAACAGACATACAAAAAGTAGCACAAATTACTCTTATCTAATAATCTGGTCTTTCTATCAGTGAAATCTAATCAAAATGGATTCAGTCATTTCGAGGATCAGACGATACAGATAGTGAAATAGTGAGGCGGACAGACAGACAAACAGACATACAATAAGTAGCCTAGATTACCCTTAATAACCTGTCCTTTATGTCAGTGAAATCCTCTCAAAATAGATTATATATGCCAGTGAAATCCTGTGGAAATATGTTCCTTCTTATAAATTTTCGTCTCCTATCTTTATATTCGCCCTTGCCCTAATTTTTTTTCTCTTGCATACCACTATTTTTGTTTTACTTTTATTTATTTCCATACAGTACTGTTTTCTCAACACTGCTTCCATTTTATTTAATGCTATCTCTAACTCTTCCTTGCTAGATGCTAATACTGCTATATCATCTGCAAATCTAAGCAAACTAATTTTTTGCCCCTGTATCTATCCCTACAGTTGTACTGTCTTTAATGATGTTGATCGCGTCTTAAAAAGTAGCGGTGACAGTGTGCATCCCTGTCTGACTGCCTTTCTAATATTTACTTCTCTACGTTGCAGCCCCAATTGCCTGTTGCTCTTTATACAAACTAAGTATCACTCTTCTATCTCTGGAACTCATCCCTACATTTTAAAGTATATTTAACATCTTATCCCATCTAACTTTGTCAAACGTTTTTCTAAATCTACAAATCCTATGTACGCACTTTTTCCTTTTACTATCGTTTTCTCTATTGTTACCCGTAAAGCAAGAATGGCCTCCCGCGTTCCTCTATTTCTTCTAAACCCAAATTTATATTCCCCTAATAGTTCTTCCGCCCTTTTTTCCATCCTCCTCTGTACAATTATAGTTAACATTTTTGACGCATGGGAAGTTAATTGTTCTAAATGTCTCGCACATATCCGCGCCTCTCTTTTTAGGTATGGTTACTATAACGTTCCGTTTATAATAATCCTCTGGGACTCTTTCCCCGTCTGGTAAATGTGACTAACTAGCTTAAACATACGATTTCTAACCTTTTGTCCTGCATGTTTTGGAATTTCCCCCTGCACGAGCTTAAAACAATGTAATTTTCGGTATTACACATACGTCAATTTTATTTACGTGTATGCATCTACAATAATCAACATAAACGGCGAAAAGTCGATTTTTAAGGGCAATTATGGAGAGATCTTCGGTCCAAAGAATCATAAAAATACAAATAATACAAAAATATAAAAATTTGTAGTAGTCCTTTTAAGGTTTGAGGTATCAAAACTACTGATGCATTCCAGTGAGTAAATTTTCGAATTTAAAATAGGCCATGTAATCTAGGGATGACACCAAAGGTAAACAAAACTTGATTTTATCAACTGATATTTTTTTTGTATTACACATGAACAGTATTCATTTATAAAAGATGTGAAATATTAATACACAGCAATTACACAAGCAAGTATGCTGTAAATAGGTGATTTTATTGCTCCTTCATAAATAAATCGTTTAACATTTATCAAGGATAACGATTTAGAAATGTCTTCGACCTCTGCTTACTAAACTTGCACTATAACAAGTTCATTATCATTAAAAAAGTTTTGAAATACGTTTTCTGAATTTAGGTATCACAAACTGACGTGTTTTCTTTCAGCAAAGTTTTTAAAATTTTCATACATGACGTACAAACACGTAGTGGATAATCCATGTACTCTACAACGGAATTCCCTCACGAGATGCTACAAAATAAATCAAGGAAACAGTATGGAAAGTCCAACCGGTGATATCTTTTAACCACAAAAGCAGAGGTGTTATCTTTTATACATTACACTGATCCTTCTTTTAGCAGTGGCGGCTCGTAAATGCGTTTCACGATTTAGACAAAATGAAGTTAAACACTTCCTTTTAAGGCATCCATTGGATTTGTCATAGGTAGACAAAAGGGCTAAATTCCGGTAAAAATTATAACGTTTTCACAAAGTGTGCTGTTGTTGTCGTGTACCTTAGTAAAAAACAGTTGTGACCGATTTTATCAGTAGTTTTGACAGACCAAGTATTGAGGACATCGAAGAAGTGATCAATATCATTAAAGATAGTACAACTGTAGGGATAGATATACAGCGGCAAAAGATGAGTATGCTTAGATTTTCAGATGATATAGCAGTATTAGCATCTAGCAAGAAGGAGTTAAAGATAGCTTTAAAAATAAAAAACGGTATTGATAAAACAGTATTGTATGAAAATAAATAAAAGTAAAAGAAAAATACTGGTATGCAAGGGAAGAAAAGAAGGGAAAGAGCGAATATAAAGATAGGAGACGAATGATTAGAAGAAGTGGCTGATTTTAGGTATCTAGGAAGTCAGATAAGTCAGGACGGAAGGAGTAGTAGATATAAAGCAGAAGACAGCACAGGGTCAAGTCGCCTTTAATAACACCAAGTCACTTCTATATCGCGAACAATTAATTTAGAAATTTGAAAAAGATTGTTAAAGGTCTAGTCAGAGACATATTGGAGGCAGATACGGAAGTTAGGAAGGGTAAAGGTAGACCTAGATTAGATTACTGTTCGCAAATAGTTAAGGATATGAGTTGTCCCAGTTTTAGGGAAATGCGAAGATTAGCTCAGGATAGGAAAGAGTGGAGGTACGTGTCCAACCAGTCTTAGGACTGACGACCTTATGATGATGATATATTTTATCCAAGCCTTACAAGACGTTATGCCATATAAGTAGCTGGATAATATAATGTGATTAATACTGCCCCATTATCCACTTTGTCCAAAATGGGTAGATATTAATGATATTATCCATAATACTTTAATTATTATAAATAATATCTAGATTAATCACCTTGACTATATATAAATTTACAAAGCAATCATATTTCATGATACAGACAAGATTTCTTTTGTAACTTTGAAGTAAACATATTTTGAACAAAAAAAAAAAGGATTCGTACCTTTTAATAACAGTAACGGTGAATCCCACAGTCAATGCTAAGCTGGCAGAGCCCATCAACACACCTGACATTTCACGTTACCGAATTAGGTAATAACCAAAATCCAACTTTTATAGAGAAAGGAACTTTTCTTAAAATTCGTCCACTATTTTCCGGTAAAAAAAGTTCGAATGGGCTAACACTTTCTATTGCACAATAACGCCATACAACAAAAAACAGCACCTATTACTAACGCACTTCAACTGTTTCAAATGGAAGAACACCGACTGAATTTATATTGTATTAGAAGGCTGGCTGCTGTGGTTTAACTGGATCCAAAGAAATTCTTAAATAGTGAATAACGCGTGATCTTCAGTTTCCTTGAAAGGTTTATAATTGATAAAACTGACGCACATAATTATGAATTAAAATGGTTAAGGTTCGTATTTTGTACTACGTCAGAAAATAAATCTTTTATTTTTCGTTAGCTACTAACTTTTACCGTTCAAAATTTCTGAATACTGTACGATAATCATGCTGCCTTGTGGATTTTATATTGGCTGTGATTAATAAGGAAAATGTTGTTTCAAGGATGAGGACGATTGTACTCATGTTACGTTCGATGTTGCTTCATAATAACAGTTCCTTACTCTTTTTTGATGATAAAAAAATACTAACAGCATGGAAAGTCTAGAATTTTCTTGTTATCATCATGCTAATTATAGATTAATTATATCTATATGAATGCAACTGATAATAATGACAAGCCTGTAAAACGTTTTGGTTATTTCACAACTTTTAAAATGTTGTGAATTTATCAACGATATTGACAATATTTGCTAATTTGTTTATTATATTTATTATTCTGATTTCCTCTCTCTCTTTCTCT